TCTCCATGGGGTGGGATGTGTGCTCCATGCCCTAAAAGCCGATGGGATGGCTGGGGGGGGGCCGTTCAGGGGCTGCAGCTGTGCCGGAGCTCCCGCCCCATGTCGGGGCCCTCACCCTCATCCATGGGCTACCAGGGGGTCCGGGAAAGGGGGCACCGTGTTCTTGCCTTGTTTAGCACAGATTGCACCTGTGAGGAGCTTCCCTGCTGTCCTGGTTGTGGCTGGGATAGAGTTAATTTTCTTCCTAGGCAGCGTTTTGGATTTAGGATGAGACCTGCTGGGACAGAGCCCCCTGCTCCATGTCATTGTCCCTCCACGCTGCAGGTCCCCGGGCAAAGCTCATCCTGGCAACTGGCCCTTGTAGGTGTCCAGTTGCATGAATGATCCCTTGGGACAGGGGTGAGATCCAGGATGCAACCCTTCCAGCTGGGAATGATGGGAACGACTAATTGAATCACATGCCTGGCTCCACGGGCAAAGGGACGTGGGAAGGGTGGTGAGGGATGGCACCGCTGCCAGCCTGGCAAAGTGAGCATCCAGGGAGCCCTGCTTTTTGCCAGGCTGCTTCCCAGCCAGGCTGGGAGCTCTGGGAGCCCATGGTCTCTTCCCTGTGCATGCTAATGTGCTCTTCCTGCAGTAGAGGAGCCTTTCCCTGGCTGAGCCTTTAAGAACAGACGTGGGTTTTGAGAAACCCTTGATGGCACCGCTTACAATTATAATGTAAGCGGTATAATGGAGAGTCCAGGGGCCGAGCTGCATGTTCTTGATGTTATAGGGAGGCTTTTGGGGCTGTTCCCCACTTTGCCCTGCCTTGGTGTGGGTTTAGTGATGCTGCTGTGGCTTGGGCTGGCTCCTTCCTCCTGCCCGTCCGTGGGGAGCAGGAGGAGAGCAGAGGGACAAGGATTGCAGGCGTGGAGCAAACAGCTCCTTGTGGCACTAGAGCCTCGGCTGCAGGGCCACCAGAGCCATCCATAATTGATAACACCCAGGCTGTAATGAGCTCCCAGTCTAGGCTAGGAAATCATTTGCAAGCTGATCGGGATTTGCATGGAATGGGCTTGTTTGCTGAAGGGTTTTCAGGCTTTTCAGCTCTTATTAAGGGTGTGAATGTTTATATCTCTGGGTGGGTGGTGGAGATGAGGTTTAGCAAGTGGGGAGTGGACACCTTGTGCTGGGGTATCTCATCCCCAAGATGCTGAGGTGGGGACTGTGCTCCTGTCCCTTGGCAGGGAGGGACAAATGTGGTGGCAGCCACCAGCTCCAGCACTGGGGCTGCTGGTGGCTCACAGAAACAAAGCTCAGGTGTGAAGATGGAAGTGGAGGGAGCCTGCATAGCTCAAAGGGTTTTGCAGAAGACAGTTTGTGGTGGGAGGAGAGGGCTTTCAACCACTCCCATTGCCAGGGTTCAGATTTTCCTAGGAAAAATGTGGGTATCACGAGGGTACATCTCAAACTGCATAGGAGGTCGGGCAAGGTGGCTGTACCTGCCCACCTTTAGCCTTAAAACAGAGGTGCATCTTTGATGAGAAAGCAGCCAGGGAGATTTTTATTCCAATGTTGGATTCTGGGGACTCACAGGAAGGCATCTGCTTTTCTCTCCCACCACGGTTTGTGGAAGGAGGAAAACAATCAAGAAAAGCAGGGAGGGTGATGTTCTTAAATCCACCGGGGCTTTGGGAGGATATTGTTTGTGCTTCTTGAATAATGGCTTTTGATATGTAATAATATATTGTGCAGTTTTTGATGGCCAATATTACATTTATTTTAAATGATATAATCAGCCCTCGGTGTCTCAGTTGATTTAGTCAATTAAGTTTTTAGCCTCATGTCTTCAATCTCATCTGTGAGTAATTTAAATGTGGTGATTTTAATGAAAGTACATCTACCTGTTCATTTATCCAGACATATCATTGCCCTTTGGATCTGTGGTGGTAGGGACAGGAGATGCATTTTCTCTTCTGCACGGAAATATTTACCAAGGGTGAGGAGACAATACAGTGATTGGCATTAGGGAGATGTGGGGGGTTTTTTTTGTTTTGTTTCCAGAGCAATCCAAATATCCCAGATGCAGCAGTCTCCAGAACAAAGTGACTGTACACTAAGGCTTTCAGAAAGGACAGTGGGATTGCCTCAAATTCTGGGGCTGAGTTTAACCCCAAGGGATGACAATAATTAACCACCCAAAGCTGATGGATGCTCAGCATCTCGGATGCTGGTGCAATTGCCACGGTTTGCCCTGGTAATTAGGACAGCTCGAGGAGACCAGGCACTGCTGGGGCTGAAATTCAGCCTCAAATCCCTTTGTGCTGTTTGGGAAACACATCACAGTGATTTCCTCAGGGAGATGGCACTGGGGGTCCCCTTCCCAGCAGGACTGGGTGCAGGGTGGTCTTCTTTGAAGCCAAGCTTGGAAGCAGTATTGTCTTTTTGTTCCCATCTCATGGGCTGACGTACCTAAAATACTTTTTTCTTTTTTTTTTAAGTAAAAATACTCCGAAGGGGCATTACATGAGGTTTTCTCACAGAAGGCAAACCTGCCTCCCCCTGAAAACGCTTGTTTTAAAATTTTCAGTGGCAAATGCAAGCAGTTTTTTGATAAAAGCATTTCTATTCATGAGCAGTAGCTCAGAGAGATTTGCAAGAAATAAATAGGTTTTGGCAGCATAAAAGTCTCTGTTGAACAAGGGGATGGGGAAGGTGTGAAACTTGATTTTGTATAGTTTGCCCATGGAATTTCAGCGAAAGTTCCTCAACAGAAGTGTCAGGGGATATTTTTCCATCAAACCCAAGCTCAAATCTCCTGATTCTGGTGAGAGCTACAGCACTCTTACGTTAATAATCATCATCTTGGCTGTTGGAGTGCTTTGCTCCTTGGAGATTTGTCTCCATCTCACCCTGGGACACATTTGGAGAGCTGGCCTTGAGCTCCCTCCAGATTTTAGCAGGTGAAGGTTGCTGTGCTGTGCCTCTTTAGAAAGTGGATTTCTCACAGACCTCCCATCCTAGTACAAACTTCCACCTTACTAGCACAGGTTTTTAACAAACTCTTTGTATATCATACAGCAGAGAAAGCAGGGACATATGTTTGTGGGAAGCAACAGTCCCATTGCTAATGCTCCACCTCCTCCTGCCCCGGGATGAAGGTCACTGGGGCAGGGTGGGTTGTCATTCTCTTTCCTGGTAGAAATGGTCAGTAATTCCTAGGTGAGAGTAAATGAGTGACTAGCATGTCAGGGATTCACCAGGGGGCAGTTGAAACCTCTTCCTTCCAGCATGGCCCCTGCTTACACTGAGTTCTCAGCCACCTTCGGGAGCATCTCAGAGACACGTGGGGTGACCCCCACGCCTCCTGTTTGGGTGCTCCCATACCAGGTTTTTGTGCTGGTGCTGGCTCTGTGCTGCCCTAACTCTCCCAGCTGAAGTCTGGGTCTCCTCTCCTTGCTATTCTGCTGCCAAAGGTGGGATAGAGCTGATGATGTTTTGGCGTGGGAGCCTCTGAGCTGGCCCAGCAGGTCCCCTGCGCTGCCTCCCATTGGGTTCCCTTGAAGCTGCTCGTAGGAAAGCTCAGTTTGCTCAAAGGCTGCATAAAAAAAGGGTATTTCCATCTCTGGCAAGGAAGCACTAGGATCCAGGGATGCTTGGAGCTGCCTTGCTACCTCCAGCTCTTCCCCCACATCCACGTGGACACAGCTCTGTATGGGAGACGGGAGGAGAGGCACCAGCACCGCTTTCCTTTAAGCAGAGATTTGGCTGTGGCTCTGAAAGCAGAATTAGAGGTAGGGTTTAATCATACAAGCTCTGAAATATGGGAGATTAAATCTTTTTAAGGAGGGCAGCTAAGCACTTTATTTTCTGTGCAGGAATCTTCAGGGGGTCGGAGACCAGAGAACTGGATTTAAAGCTTTTAAATTACTTTTTTTCTCCTGTTCTTTTTTTTTAAACAATTTTTTTCCCCCCCCACAATACACAGTTGGACAGGAGAGACTTTAAAGTGATGGTTAAAAAAGACAGAGAGAGAGAGAGAGAGAGAGAGAGAGAGAGAGAGAGAATGGGTGGAATGGAGATGCTTGTTGAAAATAGACATTAATAATGTTGTGTTGTGTTGAGTTGCCCAGTCACATTTAATCCTTAAAGCGCAGGTCTGCTCTGGGAGGTGATTTTTGGGGAGGGAGGGAGACCTTTGAGGCGTTCCATGTAATTTCTTCATGCCATTTGTTGACAAATTTACTCCATGTAGTTACAGCAAAGGCATTTGCAGCCCCATCCCCTCTCCTGCTGCAGGTGGTCGTGGATCCCGGCAGTGCCGGGTGCTGTGGGCCCCCCTCCTCGGGGGCCCAGGGGTGATGTTTGAGCTGAGATTGGCGTTCTGTCTGGAACTGGGGTTTGTTTTTCCCAGCCAGGCGCTGCCTGCCAGCTCCCCAAGCCCTGCTCGGGGGAATTGGTGCTGTTTGGTTGCCTCTCTCCAGCCTGCCCGGGGACGTTCGCTTCTGTTTGTCTTGCGTTTTTCTTAATTTCACGGAGCTGAGGAGATCGATGGGAAGGTAGGCCTGGGATTTAAGGCTGCCTATAGCACGACGCCGTGACTGATGACCCCAGCTCTGCTGCTGCTCTCGGGGGTGGGAGCTTGCAGGGCTGCTGGTGCCAGGGCCAGCTGCAAGCCAAGGACTCGGTGCTGCAGGAGGGGTGATGTCCACGGGAGGGACGTCGTGTCCTTCCAGCATTTGCTCCTACCTGGAGACTGAGTGTTATCTGTGAAGGTCACGGTGCCGTGACCACCCTGGAAAAGGAGTGCTAAGTCAGTGCTGAAGCCTCTCAAAGGCTGAGTTTTGTCCTGGGAGCCCTTCCTGGAGCTGCAGAGCATGGAGAGCTGGTGGGCCCGTGGCCCCCGGTGTCAGCAGAACGGTGCTGGAGTCTCGGTGCCGGCTGTATTGGAGATGCTTGTTGCCATAGAAACACCCTGTGGCACCGTGCTTGCTTGGAAGGAGGTGGCATTGGTATGTTGGCAGGAGCCCGGTGAGGACATGCTGCACTCCAGCAGGTATTGCTCCGCTTTTCCCACCTGGAGCAAGTGCCTTTGGCCACTGGGTGTTGTGGATGGAGGGAAGAAGGGTTGGCGTGGGCGTCTGTACTGGTGGGGCTCCAAAGCTGAGCGCTGGAGATGGTGAAGGTGATGAGGAGATCACTTCGGTGGTGCTCCATTGTCCTCCTTGGTGCAGTTTGTTCCCACTCTCTCCGTGCCAAAAGCTGGTCTTCACCCCGGAAAAATGGTTTGTGTAGCCCCAGCTGTCCCCAGGGAGACCCCTCTGCGTCCCTCCAGCAGCGTGGCAGCCTCTGCCACCCCACCTCATCCCCAGACTGCTCACCCTTCATTTTAATGGCCCAATTCCACCGAGCAAATGAGGCAGCGCCTTCAATCCCTCCCCTCGGTCTGCCAGCTAATTAGCACTCCATTAACTTAACGAGGCTCTCCCGGCCACCCTGGACATGGACAGAGTGTGTGCAGTGCTGCCAGGCGAGGGGGAGGCAGCAGCCAGGCTTGGCTGGACCTGGGGGCTGCGGCAGAGCCCTTGTGGCTGGGCAAGGGTGGCTTTGCCCAGGGTCTTGGGGCTGCTGAGGCTTTGCTGTGCTTTTGAATCCATAGTGGGAATGGCCAGGAAGGGGAAGGGCGGCGGGAGTGGTTGGCACTGCTGAAGGAGCTGGGTGTAGGTGGGAGGTTGTGTAGGCTGTGATGCTCCAGCATCCTGCACAACCCGCGCTGCCCCGTGGCCAAGGGGGTGGAGCGGGATGCAGTGCCCCTCGGAGCAGATTCCCACCTTGCCCACTGCCCAGGCAGCACAGCAGCCCTGCCTCGGACAGCCCCAGCTCCCTGCCAAAGCTTTGTTTGTTGACTGAGTTAAATTTGCAATTTCATGGTTTGGTTACAATGAGCTTAGTTTATAAAATTCATGAGCTGTTTAGGAAGTGTTGAGAGGAGGGGTGAAAAACACGCCCGAGAGTCCACGGGCAGGGGGGTTTGTGGCTGCTAGCACATGCCAGAGCGGGTCCTGGTTTGGGGACAGTGTGGGAGGAGCATGGGGGAGCCTCATGCAGGGGGACAAAGGGATGAGTCCCCGTGGGAGGAGAGGTGCTGGCTTCTCCTGGTGTCACCCACTGTTTCTTGACCCGCACACTGGGCTGGGAGGTGTGCAGGGCCCTGTAGTTCTCCTGGTGGCCTGCAGAGAAACGTCAGAAAAACAAGAAATCATTTCAAGGCTGGAGCTCAGACGCTGCAGGCTCAGCCTGCTGGTTCAGAGTAGGAATTTGTGGTTCTTTGGAGGTTTGGTTGGGAATCCACAAAATGAACTCCGTTCCCTGGAACTCGGGAGGGTTGGGACAGGGAGAGGCAGCTCCCAGGAGCAGTCCCCACATGGGCAGTGGGCTTGAGCCCATTGCTGGTGAAATAAGCTGGTTTATCCCCTTGCATTTGACTTTTCCAAGAGATTTCTTTCCATCCTTTCCTGTGTGTTTGGGGGCTGACTAGGGAGCAGTGCAGCCCCCCAATCCCACCCTCCTCACCACTGGCTGCTGCATCCTCCATGCCCCCAGCAAAGGTGATGCTCCTCCAGGATCCCATGCTGGACCTGCTGATGTGCTGCAGTGGGAATCAAAAGGCAAAGGGTCAGGAACGACGTAAACAAATATTAGCTAATTAACATTGGATGCTGGGGAGCTCAAGGGGAGGAGGAAGGGGAGGGCTTGCCAGAGGATACAAAGCCATGAGGTGCCTGTCCTGCTTGGCAATGGATGTGAGTGCATGAGCTGCCAGGGCTGGGGCTGATGTTACTGTGACATCAGGAGGGGGCTGGTGTGCTTCCAGATTCCTTACCAGTCAAAAAACACCCCTGGATTCCACTGCAAATGCTAAGCTGTAGATTTTTGGTGTTTTTCAAAAGAAACTCATTATTAGACTGACAGAGTGCATGGTCTGTCAATCTGTGGAGCTGTTCATAGACACAGGCCACAAATAGCCACCAAAAACCCCTTTTCTTCCAGTGTTTGTTGGGTTGTTGACTCCCCAGTGTCTCTGATTTCAAAGGCTTGGGAGCATCTCTGCCTCTCTTTGTATGGATGTGCTAAACAAAGCCCAGAAGTTATTGGTGGAAATGGAGCTGTAGATCAAGGCAGGCAGCTGGATCTGACCAGGATGTCCAAAAACTCTGAAGGGGAGGTGATCCTTCATTCTGGTGACCTCTCTAGCAACATTGTCCATGAAGAAACCTTGCAGTTGCTCTCTGTGTTCTTTTACAGCCTTTGGGCTGTAATTAGTATATCCCTAGCTTGGTGAAATCTCTATTTGCAGCCATTCACCATGTAAATGTTTCCCTGTGAAGCCACTGGGCTTTTCTGGGAATCCTCATGTGTTTCTCTAGGAGCATGACACACATGACATATGTTGATATACAACATGCAGGACCTAAGTGGGTCCTTCAGCTTGTACATGGGAGTCAACGTGGCTGGAGCCTGTCTGGAAGGAGGTGCCCTTCTTGTGCCTTGCTTTTGAGGCACATCTTTTCCATCCAAAGTATTTAATCACCTAATTTGTGTTAAGGAGCATCAGCTTTTCGTTTCCAGCTGTGTCAGCACAGAAGACGTTTCCTTGCTAATGAATTCTGGACTTGAAACATCTCCTCTGTGTGTGGGGGGACATGAAAGCCCAGGGAGGGGACAAGACTTGGAGGTACCTCGGGAAATTGGGGGCGAGGGGCAGGACTGAGCCCGGGGACGAGGCCACCCGCAGCTCCTGCTACATTGTGCTCAATCCAGTATCCAAATTTCAGCCTTTTAAGAGGATTATCAGGTGTCTGTTTGAATTACTCTGACACGAACAGTCACTCAGAAAATGTACATTCGTCTGAAAGGTCAAGTACATCTGATTTCTGCGTTTGGTATGCGGGGGCTTCATCCTTTCAACTCTGCCTTCCTTAATGAGATTCTTGTTTCAAAGAGTCGCACTGTGCCCGGGATTTGACGGAGTCAAGTGTGGTGGAGAAGAGTTTTTGTTATCATGTTTACCCTTTTATCTGCCTGTCCTTTGAAAGCTCCGTGGCACACAGCAAGGATGCAACAGGATGGCCAACAGGGGCTGGTTTGCCAGCAGAATGAGGGGGTTTGGGGGAGGAGAGATGGAGGTGTGTGAGTGGGGTGCTGCATCACCAGGAGCTGTGATTTCTGCATGGGGAGGCATCCAAATGGAGAGAGGGCTCAGGGCCTTTGAGGAGACCCCCAGACACCACTGAAGCCTTGGGGGGGTGGGGTGTTATCAACTCCCACAGAAACCGGGGCGGAAACAAAGCCAAGTTTGGCCTGGCCTGGCAGAATTGTGTTCCTTGATTAAATTAATGTGTATTGATATTTCTCCTGTTGTTTTGACTTTGCAGGCTGTTTAAATTCAGGCTTGTCACAACAAAATACAAAGGAGGTTGCTCGGAGATTGATTTTTTTATTTTTTTTCCTCCCTCTCTCTCTTTAATCCTGTCTCTGAAGAAGAGTATTTTAAAATTTTTTTTTTTTTTTTTTTCTCCCCCTACTTACTTCCAGGTTGACAGCCAGAGGAGGCTGCAAACATTAAAACTGTTGCACAAATAATTATGTTAAAAACGCCGAGCGCACATTATGGAGGCAGGAGCTCCTTGATTGTAACGTACGAATCAATTTTCTGCGTCACAAAATTACTGACATCCGAGTTTGCTCTGCTGATTTATTCCCTCGAATGACGATGCTGTGACTGCCAGCCTACTTTCCCTGGAGAGGTGTTTGGTTTGGTTGGTGTTTTTTTTCTTGATGGGTGAAGCTTTGGTCTCCTCTTTGCTGTCAGTGCTGTCTCCTCCCTGCCTGTGCGTCGGTCCCCTCCGCTGCTTAAAAACAGAGGCTTTTATTCAAACCGCGTCCCAAAACGCTCCGCCAAGTTAAATAATGTAGTCACAAAACCAAATATTGAATAATGACTGAGGGAAGGATTAAGGGAGACAGCCAAGGAACAAAAGAGGGATTCTCAAGTGTTTTGAACACAAAATTGAGAAGGCACAGATGCGCAGGAGGCTTTTTCTCTCTGCAGCCAGAGGACACAGATTAAAGGGGTCCTCCCAGGACCGTGCACCCCCAGCCAGCTTAAGCTGACTAAATACCTCCTTAAATCCAACCTTTTCAGCAAGCCTGGCTGGTTTGAGGAATTTCTGCTGGAAATACATTTGTAGACTCATGGAATGGTCTGCGTTGGAAGGGACCTTAAAGCTCATCTCGTTCCAAACCCCTGCCATGGCCAGGGACACCTTCCACTAGAGAACCTGCCACTAGAACTTTTCAAAAGGATGTTCAGGGAAAATTCCTTGGGGTTTTTTTGTGGTTGGTTTGTTTGTTTGTTTGTTTGTTTGTTTCTGGTGGAAAATTCCCATGGAGGCTTTTCTGGGCTCACTTTTTGGAGAGAAAACATCATTTTTCGGTTGTTCCTTGGGAAGGCTGCAGCCCAGGCAACACCATCAACCCCAGTTCTTTACTCGATTCCGGTTCCGTGGGAAGATTTTAAGGAAAAAATACCAGGGGTGGGGGGAAAAAAAAAATCACAGGCATTTCATTTCTCATGCAACTCGTGGGATTTTTCAAATCCACCTCTGAGTTGTTGAGTTGCAGTAACCACAAGGTGGGTAGTTATTGGATACTCATGTGGTGAGAAAGGAATAGACTGAAGGAATGAGCTTCAAGGCTGCACAAAAACTTATGTAAATGTCTTCTGTATAGCTCGGAGAAAATCTAGGACTCCTCTAAATCTAAGAGTTGGAAATTCACCTGGGAAGCCATAAATTCAGTAGATGTCTTCTCTTCAATAAATTTGAAATATTGGCCAGGGAAGAAGCATCCCTGTTTCGCAGGAGGAGTTACTGGACCTTCTGATTGTTTCTTTCTTTATTTTCCTGCAGGTCCAGAAGCGGTTGAAATGTAGCTCAGGATAAATTGCAAGGTGATGATTTACATGACAGGTGACACTAGAAAGCACATTATTCTAGGAGGAAGGATGAGATGGGATGTATTTACTGCCTGTCTGGGCAAATTATCTGCTCTCAGTTGTCTGGCATGTGCTTGTGCAGGGAATGCATGTGTCCAAAATAGCCAATAAAGTGGATGTGGGGAAGAACAGTTAATAAATGCAACCCCCCCATGGCTGTGGCTGCATCCCTCACTCTGAACTCTCTTTAACTCCCTCGCTGGAGACAGTTGTGCTGGGGATGGCCTGAAGCTGGTTTTGAGGGAGGAAGCACTCAGCCAAATTCCTTGCTGCTTGTAGGGGTGAGAGGAGCATGGCTTTTGCCAGGAAAAGGAGAAGGATCTGTATTTGAGGGGACATCAGTGCTTGCAGCCCTGTGTGTTGTGATACTGGAGCTGCAGAGGCCAACTCCTCATCTCACCTCTCTTACTTGCTGAGGTTATAATGCCCCATCCCACCAGGGAAACTCCTCATTTGAGATCAAGCAAATTATCCTGTGCTGGCTGCTGCTGTTCCTCGCTCCTGCCAGGCTGGCTGTGATTTACTCTTAATATTTATCCCTCTTCACCTTCTATTTCTTACTGATGAGTAAAACAAAATAATGGAGTGGAGGTGGTAAACTCTAAGCTCCTGCCATCCGAGGGGACTGCAGCTCCCAGGCGGGGATGGTTTGGGAATTGCAACTGCAGCTTTGGAGCCCTGACCCCCACCGTGTTACCCAGCCCTGACCCTCCCCGTCGAGGCTGCTTCAGCCCATATCTATTATGGTTGGATTGCTTGTTTTTCCAGAAGGCTTTTTTTTCCTGTCCCTCGGGGCTGTTTGCAGGATGATTGCTTTTTATTTTTGTGTGTGTGTGCCCACTGAGAGCTCGGGATCTCATCTGGCTCTTAAGGATATACTTCTGCTACCTAGCAGGTATTGTAGGTGGATGTGTAAATGAGTATCCTTCTGTTTACATAGAAATGGATATATAGTATAAAAACAATTTACTTGTAAAAGACTCATCCTGCCTCCAGAATATGTTTGAATCTTAACACAAGACAAAGTAATTTAATCCCTCCCAAACCCATATGTTGTTTGCTTCTCATTTTTTCCTGCAAATTTTACCTTCATCAAAAGATAAATCAATTTGTAGCAGCTATCGGCAGCTCTTTAAGCTGGAGAATTGAACAGCTTAATTAGGGAAAATATATTAAGGGATCTGAGAGATGCTAACCCGTTCAGTGCCTCCTCTTAGGCACATATCTGAGTGGTCTTGCACGTGTCTGGGGCTCCATAGATCCCCTCCAGTTTGTGTTTGCTGCTGTATTTATCTGGTATTTTGTGGGGTGGGGATGGCAGGAGTGGTTTTACTGCCCTGTAAAACCTGGCTTTTCTAGGCCTGTCCAGTTTGAGGATTTGCAACTTATTATCTTCATTATCTTCCTTTTTTCTTTATTTGTTTAAATCAAAGCAATAATAACTTCTTTTAATTACTTGGGGGCTCTCCCTAAAGCCCCTCCCCAGTGTCTGTGAGCACCCCTGTGCTGACCCCCTGGCAGTGGCTGCCTTGGAGCGTGAGGTGTAGTCATGGCCTCACAGTTTACACACACAAACAGAACAGAAATGGTTTGAAGCATCATTTCCCAAACATTCCTTCTCATTCAGCACCGTTCGTATGTTTCGTTTGCACTTTGGAGAGGGGGGATGGAAAAAAGCACCCGATAAAAGTGCAAACCGCATGAGTCAGCCTGAATCTGCTGTTGTGCCTCGCTCTTCCCATTAGCAAATACCAGGGATGAGTGTGTGGGGAGGTGGGGATCCCCTCATCTCTAAATGACAGCTTGTTTCAGTTTTGAATTCATTAGTAACGCTGCTCTGATGAACACCCCCAGCCTTCCAGGCTCAGTCAATGCCAAGTGCTCCTCCTGCCCAGCATCCCTGTGTCTCCTGGAGATCCCAGACAGCAGGGTGGCTGCTGTTGATCTCTCCCTTGTTAAGATGAGGACATGTCTCTGCTGGACCTGTGCTGGTGGGAGAAAGCTGCTGGGGCCTCAGTCCTGCTAGGAAGTGGATTTTGGAAAGGAGTTTCCTGCTGGTCCTGTTGGGGAGGATGAGCATCGCTGTGATCAGCAGAGGTTTTCTCAGAACTGTGCTTTGCAGCCCTCTCTCTAGGGCTCTTCCCTTGGGTGGTGTGTGGATACCTAGAGAAGAGCAGGCTATGCCCTGGCTCCAGCAAATAAGATCTTTTTCCTGCAAAGGCTGAGAATTCGCTGATCTCCCCAGGGCTTGTGGGATGGTGATTGGTTACAACAAAAAAAACCCCAATGTTTGGTTAATTTAAGCTTCAGCTTGAGGTGCTGAGATAAAATAGAGCTGATATCAGGATGGTCTTGCTTAAAAAGCAGAGCACTGTCTGCGCAGACCGAAGTGTTCTCCATCTGTTCCTGTGGCTGTTAAGAGCCAATATTAGACGGCTCTGCTGCAGTCTGGGAATCCGTGGTGAGTGCTCAAGGCAGAAGCTTCATGTGGGAAGTTTTTCCCTCCTTTGCCTTGCCTTAGGTTAACTCACACCCCAACCAGCCAGGCTGTGCAGAACTAAGTGTTCCTGGTGATGTTTAACATCCTCCACTTCTCCCCGAAAGGACAGGGACGAAAGGGGAAGGTGAAACATCAGCTGGAGGATCTCCTTGTCATCCGCTTGACAATCTCCTAATGGCCTAAGAAGTGGTTTCCTTGCTCTTGGAGCTTGTAACACATGACAGACCTTGAGGTTTCTCCTCTCCCACCTCGTGGTTTTTAGGTTTTTTTTTTTTCTGCTCTGCAGCGACAGAGACCAAGTTTTGCTGCTGAGGGAAATGATGAAACTTAGAAAACGAGGTCTTTGTGACAGGCTAACACCTCGGATTGCTTTGAACTTGATATTGAAATACACAGACACAGTTTTATTCCTTCCTTGCAGGTGGCTTATTGCATGGTAGCATGTGGGGGTCTGTGCCCAGCCCCACACGTGTGTGTACATGCACAGTTATTCTTGCCTCAGCACAACGATTTCCTAACGATCTCTTACCCATCCAAGACAGATTGCTTTTCATGGTTCAGTGGCCGCAGCTCAGGCATCCATTTTAATCAATAGAACAGTCAAAAGAGAGAATAGATTTACTTGTTTCTGGTTTTTTACATTTAATTGAAAATTTTCGAGTGATTACAAACATAGCTATTGTATAGATTGTGGAGTTTAGAAGACAATAAGTGCCAAAAGAAAAATGTCCCTGGAGCCCAGGCTCTTCCCGTTGTGATGCACAATAGATGTTGGTGGTTTGTGCCTGGCCTTGTCCTTTCTTCTTCTTTCTCATGGTTTGTAAAAATCAGGATGGATTTAATGGGGTTTTATCCAGACACTTCAGGGAGGGTCTGCACTGGTCTGTGATGAACAACGTTAAATCCTCTTACCTGTGATGAGGCAGAATCTCCCTTCACACAGAGCACAGAAGTACCAAGTGACCCCTGGAGATGCATCATCCCATGAGCCACCTGGTCATCAAACACATGAGAGAACGGGCTGTAAAAACTCTGCAGATGCAATAAAAACGGGTTTAATTGTAATGAGAGCTGCTTGAAAAGCAGTATCAGGGAAAAAGAGCTTTTGGTCATGAATAGGAGAAAATATATCTATTTTCTGTTGTGTTTTCAGCAGTTTTTCCAGCCTGGGCCTCTAAGGTGTCACAACCAAGTCCCTCCTTCAGAGGGGATGAATAATTGTTGAATAAAAGGGGCGTGGGATACTTGCTAGTGCCCAAAGGTGGGTGCTGCTGTGGCATTTATCCCTTACTGCTGTGCAGGTTAACCCTTCCCCACTGCACTGGAATGTTACATTTAATCTGTTTACTGTTGTCAGTGTATGTATCTAAAATGGGTGTGTTTGTGGAGGTACCACAAACACCTTTCTTTATATAATAATTCTTTTGAAATTCGAATAAATGTGTGCATGTAACAACAGTTATCTGATTTGTTGCGTGGTCTTGGGGAGGGGGGTCTCCAGGACCCCCATGGTTTCTGAGTTTGCAGATTAGATTTATGCCTGAGAAGCTCTGCCCTTTTTTTCTGGGGATTCTTTGGGAAAAATAACGAGCCATCCTGTCTCTCTGCTTGTAAATTTAATAAACCTGAAAGAAGCAGCACAGCAGCTGAACATATCAAAGCCATCGACTGTTAACTCCAGTGCAGGAAAACTTTAAAAATAGTCATCGAGACCCCTGTGCTCTCTGCAAAATGAGATCTGAGTCCTCTTTAAGTTGTTTTTAATAGCTGGAATTACTGAGGATTGGTGTTACCAGCTAATAGTTTGGGGAGCCAGCTGCCCGTTCGGTGCCCGTGGTGATATCATTTACACTGGTATTCCTGCCACAACCTCTCGAGCGCACGGGTCTCCTCGCAAATTAAAGCTGAACCTTGTGTGCTGGGTGTGCTCTGTCTCCCAGACGGACAATTTCCTCGATACTTTTATTGTCATCTCTGATTTACTCAGCTTCATTGCCTGCTGGAAGCATATTTGTTCCAGCATGGGCCAAGATGTGACTCCGGAGGAGCCGCTGTCATCCTCCATCTAGTCAAGGGCGATGCCGCTGTCAGCTTGCACTAAGCGTGGCTTCCTCCCTCCAGCCCAAACCCAGGGTGCAGCTCTTAGGAAAAGCTGGTGACTCCAAGTTTGGAGATCCCTTCAGAGAAGAAAAGTGGGTCCCAGGGTGGTTTTGTTTCGTTTTTTGTCTTGCTTATCCCCCGGTATGAGGGTGCGAGCTGGAGACCCCCAGTGCGACGAGGGGCGATGAGCGAACACATCCTGCAAAAACATTTTGGATTTTATGGATTCATTGCCATTCCTCTCTTGGCAGCATTTTAACTCCTCATCCCCGTAGCACTTCATAGATTCGGGGTGGGTTTTCCCCACTCCATATCCCTCACCAGAAGGAAATGAGGGTTTTGAGGAAGAACAGGT